GAGCATAATCTTCAGAGGAAGTTTAGCTAGGAAGGCAAGCTGACCAAAGACCCCACAAGATGTTAGAGGCCTTGTGTGCAGTATGGAATATGATACAGGCTAAGGCACCTTAAGAACCAATTGATGACTTGCTCGAGGTTATTAATGAAGTTGACATGCCTAATATGGCAGTTGCACCTTTCTCAGTAAGATAAATGCATGGGTCATGGCCATTGTTCATCAGATTTCCATGCAGATTGGTGGCCAGTGGCCATATATGACCAAAATACATTTGACCATGGCCATGACCGAAATGCATATGACCATGACCAAGATACATTTGGCCATGGCCATGACCAAAATGCATATGGCCATGACCATGACCAAAATGCACATGACCATAACCAAAATATATATGGCCACATGTTCTATAAAACATGCACATCACTAGATTTGAACCCAGAGTCTAAAGAGTATATCATATGTATGAAACTTTTACCACTAAGCTATAGCAACTTGTTCTACATAATTACTTATTGTTTATTTAGTACCATGCAAATCACTTAAATAAATAAATAAATATTTTCCATTGGTCCAAAAAAATAGATATATCCCGGCCTACATTATGTAACTTCATAGTCACCTAAGATATGGGTCAGTCATTGCCCGCAACCTTAAGTGCCTGGTAACCATAGATGACTAATAGGGTTAACGGGTGCTTATCGATCCACTTTAGGGTCACCGGCAACTATTTAATTTACATTAGTGGCATCAAGGGCCTCCATGATCTTCTCAGGGAGCACCCGATGTCCATGATATTTTCTATTAGCCCACATAGCTTGAGCACCATTCAATCCCTTTTGATATGCGTCCAGGAAGCGAGCAGACTGATTGGCGAAGCTGAGAGATAAGTAGTTAGATGCAAATAATGATCTATAATAATTCAGTGATGCATGTACCACCGCATTTTGATGATATCAACCTGATCTAAAGATTCCCAGATGTTTTGTTCCATCTGAGCTTTGTTCTGAGTAAGGGGTTGGATCCGATAGTGAGCTTTCGCTGATTCCCAAGTCTGTTCAATGAAATTCACTTCACAGTGGAACTTTGGATAGAAAAATGCAATGTGGCTGCGATTTTCCACCAGCTCAACTAGAGCTGGCTTCTGCTCCAAGAAGTCCTTTTGGTTAAATAAAATACGGTGGCAACAGCAAGCAACATCAGGCCCAGTATTTGCGCAGTTGAAGCTTTTGCCACACTGTGCTGGCAGTTTCCCAGCATTCTCAAAGCCACACTCTTCAAGAATTAATCTCATTTCTTTGAAGTACCCCGGCCTTATGGGATGATTATCAGGGAAGTAGAATGATTGCCGCTGTTGGGTCAGGGGATTAAACCCATCACACATCTTAATGCCTTCCTTCATTGGAGTCCACAACTTGGTGTTCTTGGGCATGTGGCGTGCTGACAAGGCATCTGCTGCCCTTTTTTGATGGCTCGGGGCATTATCAAAGCCAAACGCAGCAATTGCTGAGTCGCCAAAATTGTCTTCGAAGAGATTGATGGCCTTCTCAGTTTGAGCCATTAACGCAACACTGTCGAAATAACCATCACGGTTTTTGCTGACCCTGAATAAGATTTGAGCCTTGTCAGTTCTGATAAGTACCGAATAAGCAAATGGGTTAAATTGAGAAATAATAAGTTATGATAACGCACCCATCTTTCAATGTAAGCCATCCAAGCTCCGGTAGACAAAAATCTGACACCATGATTGAGACACCTTCACCCTTGCAGACAGGCTCCGGTTTCTCACTCTTGTGGATCCAATGCGTGTTTCGTCGATCATGAGCATAGAAAATAGATTCATCGTGTGTGACCAATATCACCTCCTTTTTCCCAGGTTTTAATTGTGGAACAATCTAGACATTATCTGAAGTCCATGTTGTCATCCGCGCTTCCAATTGTAACCATAACGGGAGGAAGACGGACTGCCGGTATTCAATGACATCTGCTCTCTCGTGACCATCAACATACATCCTGTTCTTGACCTTGCCATAGTGATAACTCATTGCATAAAGCCAACAGCACACAGTTCTCAAGCTCGGAATCTTCTCCAATTGGAACTTTTTATGAGTCTCAGGAAGTGCGAGAAACCGCTGCACGTCCGCTGCCAAGAAATACTTTGACTCCAGGCTTTGGAGATGCAAGTGAATCTCCTGTGCAAAGTCTTCATCTTCAATTTGAGAAGTGCTGCCTTTATGCAGATTTATGGGAAGGTGAGTGTGATCTTCGAGGAAGTCCCAGGTCCAACCTCAGATGGTTCGGGCATATGTTGCACCTTGTCCAGCTGTTGTTGCTGCAAGAATGGAAGCTTGGAGCCAACCATAAGATTCATTGATGAAATAGAATCGCAAAAATGCCAACATTGACGTGAGCTGACCATGGGTGAGGAGATCAAGGGTTTTCTTCTTCTTGAGAAGGTCCTTTAACATTTTCATCACATCTCTGACTTGGATTGACTTTGGACCAGGTGGCTGTGCACATCAAATACGAATGGGATCTTTGGTTACAGATTGGTTAGATTCCCCAGGAGTGGTGCCGATGTGGAGGCCCGGTCCCGTGTCTTGTAAACAAGGACCCGAGGGTTGCACAACTGTGTCTGTGCGATTAGTGGACTGCAGGGATGCCATTGGTGGTGTGTTCATTATCCTAGCCTGCGGATTGAAAGTGAGAATGCTTTTTTGCCCAGTAGATTGCTCTGGATCCTTCCTTGCCACTATGAGATCCTCTTCCCCAGATTCCCCAGATTCCTCAGACTCCATCCTTTCTGCTGGTCCCTTTCCTACCATCTCCTCTTCCTCTGACTCCTCTTCCTCTTCTCTGATCAAAATACTGTCAACAATGCCCAGAAATTCAACCTCACTGTCTGAATCCACTTCTGATGCTGCCCATCCTTCAGACTCTCCATCGTAATCTAGGGTTACTACAGCCACTTTGGGCTTGGGTTTGAAGAACTGTCCAATGTGTGGATATCCTTGATCCTGGAGGTTCTTTGTCTCTGAGATGATTCTGGCATTATGGTGCTGCTGTGTACTCTTTGGTTTTGGACCAATCTTCTTGAACCGGAAGGGCCGTCCAGTCTTTTTCAGGAATTCCTGCATTCCTTGCTTTAATTTCATCGAAAACTGAACTAAATCAGATTCATTCTCTAGCTCCACTTCTTCAGAATCAGAGGAATATGATGGGACTGGGGAAGGTGGCCTGCTGATGTCCTCCCTGGACTTCAGATACTCCATTTCCTCGAAGATTGAGACAGCTGTGAGTTCAGCTGATGGTTCAGGAGAGTTAATCCTTTGTCTCTGATAATTTGACAGGTCAAATGCGAGTCAGCGGGATCAGAAGAGGCAATCGGGAGAAGGTCACCTTCATGGCATGAACACCCAGATTTTCAAGCCTCCTCTTGGCTTCAGCCTTTCTGGGAGCCATTGGGAGCTTTATCCTGTAATTATCAACAGGAAATGAATAAGATTTAAGCCTCTGTAGGGGCAGAAATGATTTTCGAAAGGTTAAGCGCCCTTACCAGCTCTATAATTAGAACCCCACTTGAGGGCTGCCTCTGAACAAACATGTTGCTTTCGATGAATAATGCACTCAGGAATATTTTGGAGGAAAAAAGTTTTTTTGTCTATCAGAGATTTACATACTAACTTCTAAACAATTCTGGGACCATAGAAAATCCCTTCTGAGACCATTGAACTATTCTACGGTGATAGAGATGTCAAAAAGCGGTTGCTGGACGGCGAGGACTTAATCCAAGTTTGGAGGGAATTGCGCGCACTTAAGGTTGTGGGCAATGACTGACCCTACTTAGGAGGCCAACAATAATTATATTTTAATTTCTCTGTGGTGTAGTGGTAAAACACTGTACTATTTGGCCACAAGACCTTGGTTCAATTCTCCTCCAGACTAATTTTTGCCAATGCTACAGATAAAGTACATGGCCACAGTGGCCATAAATCTGCATGGGATGTAAGTGACCAGTGGCCATAGAATATGCATTTATATTACTCATGTGACTGTATAAGTTTACCATTGGGGAGCAATCCAGTGTTGGTGGGATCAACCAAAATATGACAGCACTTGATATTACCTGGAGAAATGTGTTCACTGAGCTCTGCTGGTATCACCATTTTCTGTGTGGGTCTGTGTTCATTTTTAAGGCCCATCACATTGACCTACCTCCATAATAGTTAGCACTGGAGCAGGTGAGAAATATAATACAGCTAAAACATACACAATTTTTCTTTTGGTAGTGATGTTTGGCCTTGAGTAGCTGCTCCTGGTGAGAAATGTACTTATATGCATCTACAAGCTTGCCTTTAGCACTGTGTCCTAGTATGCTTGATATATCTGCAATCCAAAATACACCACTTTATACCAGGAAAAGCTATTGAAGCACAGAGAAAACATACTGAATTAGTTTTAAATCCATGTTTCAATGCAATTTCATGCATTACATAGGCAGCCTTGCCATTAAGAACTGCCCCATCACAAATGAGATCAGCTAGGTTAAGCTGTGCCTGCAGGTTGGCAAGAACTACACAGAACACCTTAACTTATTTTCTAAATAGAAATATTGCATAGTTACAACTCCTTTCTTTGAGTTGTTTCACTTTCATTATATTTATTATGCAAGACTAGCAGGAAAGCAGTTGGTGGAAGGGGTGTGGGTAGAGTTTGTGTACATTATATAAGAAACTGTAACAGTACCATCCATCCAGCAAGTGACCCATCCATCCCCTAAAAAGCCCAGTTCTATATCCTACTTTGCTAGCAGGGTGATCTGTCAGGTTTCTGATGCACCTCTAGCTGCAAAGTGAGGTATAAGCTTGTGACTGATTAGCCAGGCATCAAACTATGTGTTTTTCCAGCTGAGGATGCTTCCTTTACCCATGAGCACCAGCTATTTGTTGATTATGGTAATATTACAGTCATATTAAATCAACAATAGCATTCATCTAATAGACCTTATAGCTCAGCTGGTAGAGCATTCTAGATATTATGGGAAGATCCTAGGTTCAAATCCTAGTGTGGTCATTTTTCTGGTACAACACTATTCCATTCTTGAGGCTGCCCAAATCCACTTATATAGCTTTTTAAATAGCAATTTTTGCCCACTAGTAGTAGGCTACCAGACTGCATAGACTGTGACTCAACTAGCAGGCAAGACTAGTAAGGCACTTAAATAGTAAATAATATTATGTGGCTACTGAACAGGTAGTATTAAGGTCTATCTAATAGTAAGAAATCTCCCTCCCCCTCCCTCCCTCCTGGCACTACTCATCCTGCACAGATAGGGGTGCCAGGGGACCACCAGGTAACAGGTCACAGCAGCTGCCTCAAGTAGTGTTGAAGGTAGCCTCTACATCCCTCACTTTTCTATTATTCAATATGGTCATTATAGTATAGATATCTCAATTATATGTTCTATCTCTTCTTTTATATGGTCTATCATGATGTTTGTTATATGTGCTTCTATCAAATAGTTTATGCTTTTATGTACTGGCACTTACTCTGCTTACATAAACACCATAGATAGTGCCCTGAAAACAGTGGATGTGGCTCTTTGACCTTACATCCACCTTGTGTCCTCCAGGTTGAGGATTGTCTCTTGGATCCTGGATGCCATCAGATGCATTGGGCATGTTGCTGAAAAGCCAAGTCATCACAATTGACTGTCTCCTGCTAGAGTGAGCCCAATAAATACTGTGAAGAATCAGAAACCATCAATGCCAAGAAATATGGAAGAGAGAGACCACATGGGTACAAGGAACAAAGAATGAAATCAACAGAAGAAGGACCATAAGGACAACCCTGACCACACCCTAACCTACATCCCTGAATCTGAACTCCAAAACCTGCCACTGCATCTGACCTAACCTCCTGCTCTCTGGCAACAGCAATGGTCTACATCCAGACTCCAAAGTCATGGAATGAACTTGATGAGTGGTGACTCAGGGTTGCCTGTGTCTTGGTCCCTGTACAACTGAGGATAGGTACTGAATGGAGAACTATGCGAGTGTCAGGCCCTGGGTGTTTGTGGACAGGTGCTAAAGCAGAGTCCAAATGACTGAAGATGGGATTTTAGAGTCATTCCCTGACATCACCTCCCTCTAGGCTGTGGTGCCCTGGACACAAAGTGTAGTGATTGAAGTTGTCTGAAGCTGAGTGAATTGAAGGCTGTGGAGCAAATACATCGGGGTGTGGTTGGGTGACACTGTAAAGACTAGTGTCTTTATGTTGTGGTTAGTTATTCACACCTATAATAACAGACTGTTCACATTCAGTGATATTCAGCTATTATATAGTACAGATAAAGATGACAGCTGGTTGGCACTAGTTGCCAACCCAGGATTATATACTAAGTGTAATTACATAATCTACATACATACTTATGTAATAACAATAATATAACACTTGGACATATATGCATCCATAAGAGTCCACAAGAACTTAGAAAAATGGATTGATGCAAAGTCAATCCCTTACACCCTCCCTTTGATGGTGAGGTCAGGGATAGATCTCACATGGTTGTCTATGTGGAATATGGCCACATTATGGTCTGGGGAGCACTCACGAGGCTATAGAGCTTTGCCTTCTCTGTATAATTGCCTCATTTCTACATCTTGGACACTATGGTCCAAGATCCACTCAGGCTCCTCTGAGTGCAGGCTAATCCCATTGTTCAACCCTAACTTTACCCAAAGGTTTGAATAATAAGCCTGTGATGGAGGCTGGAGGGTCTGCATAAACCCTCTTTTGAGGTGTCTTAGGGAGGTGTGAATCTCCAATAACAGGGACACCTGCTTCATGAATGACTTGATGATTCCAAGCTATTTGATCACAAGTCCAAGATGCTTTAGTCCTCAGCCAAGTCTTCCAGAAAAGGAGTTACAACTGGGAACGACTCACTTGAGAATTCGAAGAAGGAGATCTCGTCATACTAAATTGTTGATGAAATACAATGGGCCCTTTGAAATCATACAGAAAGTCAGTGCAGTTGCATATAGGTTGTGAATACCAGCATCCTACAGCATTCATCCAGTTCTAAACATTGCACACTTAGAGGGATATCTAGCCTCACCACCTGAATTTAGGGATCGACCTTCCAAGTCTCTGAATCATGCTGATTTCGACGTTCTAGAAGAATACAAAGTGGAGAGCATTGTGGATGAAAAATAGTCTAGGAACAGGAACAGAAAGCACACTAAGTTGTACAGGGTGCACTTCAAAGGATATGCCACTGAATTTGACAAATGGCTCTCTCGATCACAATTGAAGAATGCCCCTGATATCCTGAAGCATTGGGATAATTGGCAGAGGGTTAACCAATCATGACTAGCTCAGGAGAGCTATTCTCAACGGTCAATCAACACAGTCAAATGCTTTATATCTCAAATCTTTTATTACCTTTTCAGCATTCCCATCATGCCCTTCCACATTCACACTCCCATTCACTACCATGATTATGCTCATAATCCAATTGTTGAAGGACACACTCAACTGGAGGTTGAAGTTTCCATGAGTTCAACTGAGACATCCGACTTATCAAGATACATCCTTCATGATAGTGATCTCTGTCAAAGTAGCTGGTACGGACTCAATAACATCTTCTCCCTTGACCCCAGCTTGTCATCCGCAATTCACTACCAGTTTGAAAGCTTATGTCACGAAATTGTGAAGGCAGGGAATCACAGTTCCATTCCTCTTCTCCATACTGGTCGATTCTTGTACACTATCCCTGATGCACAACTCTCCAAGATTGAGATGCCTTTCCTGCCCTTTGGAAATGTCAAAGAACTCACCTTAAATCCACTCAATATTTTCGGAACAAAGGACATGGTCTGCAAACTTTTTCAATTATACCAGAAGGATTTCCACAAGCTTCAGGCCTGGTTAGCTCTTGTGACATTCCAGGCATCTGGACATTGTTGAAGCCTTTGGAAATGGCCCACCTATGGTTTTAGGGTGGAACACACCAACCAATAAAGTCTGCTGGCAGGATTTCTAGGAATGGTCAGTTACCTAGCTCCCAACTGCAAAGAGATTAGGAAGCAGATGGGAGTCCTGTCAGCTTAAAGCAGTTCCACATCTATTTGGAGATGGGGGGCAACCAAGGAACATGCATTCATTGAAATTAAATCAATAGTTGAAGTGCACAGGAACCATCACAGGAAGCCAGCTGACTATTCAGCCAAGGCCCAGCTGTTCCATCTGATAACAGACACATCATTGACAGGTGACAGTGAAGTACTTACCCAAGGGGAAGATGCTCAGAAAGGAAATATAATAAGATTCTGGTCAGGGAAGTTCACACCAGCACAGCAGAATTATCCAGTACATGAGAGAATTACTTGCTATAATAGAATCCTTGAAATGATTTGAACATTACCTACAGGGTACACATTTCCACATATACACTGACTATAAGCCTCTCCAATTCTTAATGTCCCAGCTGAAACTATCAGCGTGACAACACAGATGGGTTGACTTTCTAAGCAAATACAATTTTAAGATGATATACCTACCTGGAGCAGATAATATAATGGCAAATGCATTATCCAGGATGTACAGAAATGAGCCTGAAGGCATACAATGCTGACAGAATATATACCTGAATTGTCGACATTTTCAATCACACCAACATTAAATACTGCATCAAGACCATTATATACTGGGAACAATATATGAAATGAAATTATTAATGCAGCTCAATGCTGCCCAGACAAGGCAACAGACTGGAAATTCCAGACTGAAGGCAAATCCAGTGATGGTACCAGGAATAGTGGTATTACTGTTATTCACTGCCGCAGAAAGTAATAGAAAGTAATAGACAATACACACAGAAAACTGGACACAAGGATACACATATACCTGCAGTCCAACTGGAGACAGAGCAACAGGATGAATTACCAGAACTGGAAGTAATTCCCAGCAACATCAAACAAGGAGAGAAGGAAACAATAACTCCAAATGTCAAATTCTTATCACTATTTAATCCAGAGTTGAAGTTCCCTCATTGTTTAAAGGATCTATACATGACAGACTCCTTTTTCACTGCATTGGTGAATAAAATAGAACACCATGCCAATTTCTTTATAAAGGACAAGCTAATATATTTGAATAGACCTACAGGCGACTTACTATACATACCTCACAGGAAATTAGGTGCACAGGACTCTATATCACTCATTATATCGCACAGACACTCCTTATTAACACACTTGACAGGATGGAAAACCTTTTAATATCTCAAAGATTTTGTATGGTGGCCAAGAATGTTTAACAACATTAAATCATTCTGTGAAATGTGCCATACTTGCCTAACATCTAAACTCAATAACCAGAAACCATACGGGCTACTAAAATCTATCAAAGTACCCTTGAGACACTGGCAGCAAATTGGGATAGATTTTGTAGGTCCACTACCATCATTATCAAATAGACATGGAGAATTCGACATGATATGCGTGATCATTGACCACTTCTCATCCATGATACACTTAGCTCCATCAAAACAGAATTATAGAGCAAAAGACATCGCAGAACTTATATTTGACACATGCTATAAATTACATGGTAACCTTGAAAAAATTATTAGCGACAGAGACTCATTATTTACAAGCACATTTTGGGAGCACCTACATGCACTAACAGGAAAAGAACTGAGGATGTCTACATCCTATCATCCACAGACAGACAAAGCAACCAAGAGAGCCAACAGGACTATAGGACAGATGCTAAGAATGGCAGTCAGACCAGACCAGAAAGATTGGGTATTAAAATTACCTGCTATAGAATTTGCATTCAATATAGCCACATCAGACATAACAGGATTCTCACCATTTTTCCTAAATTATGGAACCCTGCCACCTCCACTATTGACCAATAACAACAACTCAGAATTACTTGGAGTACATGCCTTTACTCAAAGACTCAGAGATGTGTTATTACAAGTGCATGACTCAATTTTGACTCACTGAGTAAAACAGACAAATGCAGCTAATGGTAAATGACATCCATCCCTGTTTACAACA